TGACCACATGGCTGTTATCAGTGAGAATACATCAGAGCAAACAGGGCAACAGGGGGCCCAGGGTGAAACCAGCTCCCTGAAATGAGGCCCACCCCTCTCCTGCTAGACCCAGCGGGACACGGGGTTTGGGTGCTTCCATGGGCCTCACGCACTCATACTGCGTTGTCAGACCGGGCTCCGAGTCCTCCTGCAGCACCTTGTCCCCTTTCGTCCAGCGGTGTCCCAGGATGGCAGTGTCACTGGAATCCAAGGTGCAGGTGAGGCGTGTTTTGGAGTCAACAATAAGTTTGGAAGTTGTGATATTGCCCCCTGTGTGGCCAAGCAAGAGATGAGCCAAGGGTTCAGAGGGGGACAAAGCCTGTAACCCCCACAGCCACCTGCCAACTTGTCCCGCAACTAATCCAGTGTGGCTCCTCCACAGCCACAGCAACCTCCTGGCAGGGAGGCCACGGCCTTGTTAACAAGTCTCGAGTCGCACTGGCATGTTCAGGAAGAAACCTCCTACAGAATTAATGGACTTTGGGTGTGAGGGGCTACTGGGCAGGATGCAGGGCTCAAGGCAGGTTTTGTCAAGGAGACATGGATCGCAGGTGTGGGAACAGAGACCAACACCCACCCAGGGTCCCAACTCGTGGGTCCAGCCCAGCACAGATCCTAATTTCCTCGAAGGTCAGGAGTTCCCACAGCCCACTCACAACTGCCACAAAATCACTGTACAAGAGACAGTATGTTGTCCTGTCCAGGACACTGAGGGTGGACTCAATCAGTAAAGGCCCTTCAACCCGATTTCTAATTAGGCAAATCTTCCCGTTAGTTTCAGATGGCCTCTTGAGGAATCGAAATGTGAAAATCACTAGGAACCAGAGGTAAGAAGCACAGGAGACTGGAGGTGAACTGGGAGAACCCCTCCTTGGGACCAGGGATGGGAGGTGAAACCCAGCCCTCCCAGTGTTCAGACAAAAAGCCAGGCAGGTGTTCCATGGACCAGAAGTTGAGGGTGAGGGAAATGGAGACCTCTGCTTGAGGGCAGGGTCTGCCACCGCCCAGCCATGCCAGACGCTAACCACCATTGGTGGGGCAATGAGCACATCCATGTCCACACCGGAGCCCTGTCCCTAGGATGGGCAGGTGCTGTGGGGACACCCCTGCCAAACCACCACGGGGTCCCAGGCATCACAGGGCTGTCCACACTGGCCTCCATTTGCCTTCTTTGGGATCGCTCCGAAGCAGAGCTTTACTCAGAAGTGTCTGTTTTTCCAGGAGGGTCACTCACAGACTAGAACCCTGGAGATGTCTTTGGTTGCCCCCCACATGCACCCCGACTGGGGCCAGTGACTGAGTATGTGCCCTTGACCAGAATCGAACCCAAGACCCTTCAGTCCACGGGTCAATGATCCAAACTGGCTAGGGCTTTTTTTTTTTAATAGTTTAGTTATTTTTAGAGAGAAAGGGAGAGGAGAAACATCGATGTGAGAGCAGAACATCTATCAGCTGTCTCCTGCACGCCCCCTACTGGGGATCAAGCCTTCAACCTGCACATTGACCCGGTAATCAAACCAGCAACCTTTTGATGCTTGGGATGACGCTTAAGGCAAGACATCCCTTCTAAAAGCTCTGCCCAGGATTGCGCATAAACAGATCCAGCCATAACTGTTTGCAACGAGCTTCTTTTCCTTTTAGTTTGTGGGGAGGAGCCTGTGGTAGAAAGTTAGGTGAAAAAGCAGAATACGAGACTATATTTGAACAACTTCTGTTCAGAGTCAACCATTCCAGAAAAGCAGCTACAAGAAACCCAGCAGTCTAGCAGCCATTCAGCAGGCCTGCCCCACCTGGACCCCTGCTTCCTCACACAGTGACTTTTTAGAGCAAAACTGTGAAATCACAGAACAAAACACATGAAATTGGGCAGAATTGCTAGAGGTAGTGACCCCTGTCTGAATGGTTATCTTAGCTGCCTGGAACTCAGCAACAGTATAAATTGATTCCTTGGGCAGCAAACTTCTGGCTCAGGCCTAATCCTGCCAATCCAGAGGAAATGACAGGAAGGGTATTCTGCATCCCCTGGACACCAGGTTCTCACTATGTAAGCAAAGCTTGCTCAGCCTCACCCATCCACAGAGAGACCCAGTTAATCATTAAGAAAATTAAACCTCAAGCCAGTGTTCTCAGTGGTTAGAGCAGCGGTTCTCAACCTGTGGGTCGCGACCCCTTTGGCGGCGGAACGACCCTTTCACAGGGGTCGCCTAAGACCATCCTGCATATCAGATATTTACATTACGATTCATAACAGTAGTAACATTAGTTATGAAGTAGCAACGAAAATAATTTTATGGTTGGGTCACAACATGAGGAACTGTATTTAAAGGGCCAGAAGGTTGAGAACCACTGGGTTAGAGCATCAGCCCGGGCACCAAAGGGTCACAGGTTCAATTACCAACCCCAATTGACGCATGTGTGGGAGGCAACCAATCGATGTGTCTTTCTTACATTGATGTTTCTCTCTCTTCCCTTCTCTCTAAAATCAATGGAAAAAATATCCCCGGATGATTAACAAAAGGAAATTAAACCTCAAAACTCAAAGGGCAGCAGGAAAACTGTATTCAAGAGACATCACAGCTGGATCTGGCACGATCCATGGGCAGCTGAGATCAGCATGCCCTGAGGGTGCAGTCCAACCCCAAACCTGCACTGGGTCCCAGGGCAATAGCTAGGGGCCTGGCACTATGTCCTCAGTGGGCTGTTGGCACCCCCACCCTGTCCCACTGCGAACTTGAGACGTGCAGACCCAGCTGCCCAGCTGTGTTTCTAGTCTGGGAGGATGGGGGCCTGCCTGTGAACAGGACACATGCACAGCCAGGCAGGGCCTCTTCTTGAACAGACCAGTCCTCCTGACCCACCACTGGCCACCTGCTGGCTCTTTCTTTAAAGAGGACAGGATGACTCAGAATTCCAGACAAGCAGGGGGATGAAGCACAAAGTTCAACAGCCAGCCCTAGCTGGTTTGGCTCAGTGGATAGAGCGTCCACCTGGGAACTGAAGGGTCGCAGGTTTGATACCAGTCAAGGGCACATGCTGCAGGCTTGATCCCCAGTAGGGGACATGCAGGAGGCAGCAGATCGATGATTTTCTCTCATCATTGATGCTTCTATCTCTCTCCCTTCCCCTTCCTCTCTAAGATCAATAAAAATATATTAAAAAAAAAAAAAGTTCAACAGCCAGACAGAAAATAGGAGGCCTCTGGGGCTGGGGCACCCATCTGATCCCAGGCCATGTACATACATGCACCACTACATGTGTGCATATGTGGGTGATAGGGGCAGGCACACACATATGTATGTGTACCCACATACATATGTGTGTGCATACATGCACATGGCTCCCTTGCTGCGTGTAGGAGAGCACAGACTGCTGGCCAGGAGGTCCTGGGGCCTCAGGCTGTCTGTTCTGGGGCAAGGTGGCCCCAAAGCCCCAGGAACAAGTGGACCTTCAGGTTTCCCCACCTGCGGTGGCCCGAAGGCACCTCACAGGACAGGCACAGTTACAACCAGACAGGGGTGTGAAGCTAGAAGCTCCACTGCCTGATCTGGAAGCCTCCTGGTAATCCACACTTCTCAGGAATCAAAATTTCCAAGATTGCATAACAAGCAGCTACATAAAAAGCTGGGAGCAGTCAGGGCAGGAAGTGAGGCCAAGGAGCCCTACCGACAGGCCTGCCTCTCTCTACTCTAGAGCCTGGGACCCCCATCTGTGCTCTCATTCCCTCACCCGGGCGCTGCTAGAAAGGAGGTCAGTCAGATCTCCTCCCAGCTGCACCTGCCTCCCTGTGGGAGAACGAGGTGGCTCAAAAGTGAGCCTAAAGCCCCTTAGGCAGACACCCCTGCTCCAGCCTGAGGGCCATGTACAGCAGGGGACCAAGGCTCCACCTGGGCCACCTGCCAGCCTTCCCACCATGGAGTCTCCTATGAGCTGGCCACCATGACACCACATCTCTCTTGTGCTCCTCAATAGGGCCACATCACTCCCAGGGGGAAGCGGGGGTGTCTTAGGCATTACAATGACTGTGGCCCTACCCAGGGTCACCACACACAGAGACATGCTGCTGTAAGTGATGTTAAAATCTGTGATATTAAAATATCACTGGGACAGGGCCATTAGGAAAAATAGTCTCAAAAGACTCCTGGGCGGGGGTCAGGGGGGTGGAGGGCGTTGAGCAATGTTGGAGAAAGGTTGAAAAGCAAATCTTCTGGCAACCCCTGACCAAACCCAGTGCCCAGGTGACTTGGGGGAAGCACCCCTAGAATTCACAGGGAGAAGAGGCAGGAGCCTCCATCCTTAGGACACTGCACCAGGAGACAGGGAGAGAAAAGTGAAAACTCCATTCTGTGATTCTGGCCCCGTGACTGTAACCCACGTTCTCAAGTGAAGTCACCTTCATCTAAAAACAGCTACCCCTCCTCCGTGCCCACTCGGCAGCCAAGCCGGGGCGTGGGGCCAGGCAGGACTCGTGGTAAACAGCCAAGGAGCTTGCAGGATGAGACAGAAGGCACCCGCCCTCTCCCCACCCATGGCCTCACTGCAGGGCTCAGATAGGAGCCAAGAATGTTTCCGGGAAACCAGCTGTAGCTCCTCCCCTCTCCCTCCATCCCATCAGGAAGCAGCTCCAGCTCCCCTCACCTGAGGCTCAGAGAGGCCAAGTCATCAGCTGGAAAGCCCGTGCCCTCCCAACCTTTCTGGCCAACACGCCAGGATTCTGGGTAATCTCAGGGAGAGCCAGGGTCGTCTGGCAGGAGAATCGACCCAGGGCCTCAGGGGACAGGGTGCCGATTGCTGATGCTCAGGTCAAGGAACCCGTTCCTGGCAGGGCCCCCAAAGCATTTCCGGGGCGCTGACCTGGCCCGGAGAGGCAAACACTAAGCCACTTCTAGGCAGAAAAAGGACAGGTGGTGACGTCCTCAGAAGGACTTTCTGATCTTTCCAAGATACCCTGGGAAAAGGAGAGCTGTCCAAAGTGAAAGAGAACAAAACACAGAGGAGTCCCCGGGAGTCAGACTCAGGCAAGTGTGCAAAAACAGCTCCAAAGACGCAAAACGGCACAGATCCTCTTGGCTTCCTGGCTGCTCCAAGGAGACAGGCACAAGCTCAGGAACTGTGCTCCCAGCAGAGGGAGACCACAGGGGCTTCCACCCACTGGCCGTCTGCAGCCATTGAGGGCTCTATCATCTCCAAAGGGCGCAAGCTGCCAAACGCAGCTGTGTAGCCTCCTAATTCACTTGTCTACAGGTTCCTGAGTCTTTCCAGAGAGGGCTGGCAGGAAGCCAGGCCCTTACCCAGAAGCATTCAATACGTGGCTGTTTTAATGATAATGAAGACAAAAGAGGCGAACTGAGATCATAAAACAGATCAGGAACACCCCAGTGAAGCTTCCACTGGAGGCAGTCCCTCTGGGCTCCTGCCCAG